TACAATTATTAGAACTTCTTTTTTTTTAATAATTTCATAAAGGGAAAAAGAAAATTTGCATTTGCTGTTTACATTTATTTTAACGATTAAGTAAAATAACAAATGGATACAAATGTCCTTGGATTTAAAAGAAGTAAACAATATTTATATTTAGTGGATGATGTTAAATATTTTTATCATGAGTCTGATTCGTTATTATATGATAAACGGTTTATACAGTTGAAATAACTTAATGGTTTTGTACCGTTACACGTGTTGTAACACAAATGAGGTATACAGAATACTCGATTCTCGCTAAGAAGCATTAATTTCTGTAATATCGGTAACGACGAGTGCGACACAGAAATGGTAATGGGGCTTCAGACGCCCCATTTTTGCGTAACAAAGTATGACATGGGGTGTCAGGTCTACCCCTATAACTCGTCTGTGGTATTACTTCTGACGATATTAATATACGCTAAATATTTCTTTCAATTCTCCCTTTTATAAAATTGTCGCTATATAGAATGTATAGATACACAAGATACTTCTGATGCGATAATACAATCAGAAAAGGTTGCAGATATATATCAGAAAATAAATAAAAAATGTGTAGTACAATTTTACCGTCAGATGTGTGTCGTTTTAAATAAAATTTATTTAACAATTTATCAGACACATACGTTGCTAACGATTGACTCTGACACGTCTGACGACGATGTACCGATTCCACTTCTTGTAAATGTAATTACGTACCTAGAAACCTGAAAACTTTTCACTTGGTTCGAACTATCCTCTTCTTGACTGTGCCAGTTTACCACAAACACCCTTATATCTACTTAAAAGATACTGTATAATGCTATTTCAAACAATTTACCCAGAACTGTATCAAGCTGTTTGCAATCAGAATTTCGAGATGGCAGCATAGCGCAATGTGGAGCGAAGTCGGATGGCGCGTCTGATCATGATCTGCCAATTCCACTTCTTGCAAATACCCTTATCTAAGAAGCTGCCTTTGAACTTGCTTCTCCTGACTGGTACCACAGGACCGTAAGCACCCTCGCAACCGCATGAAAGATTCCGTAGCATATTATTTCAAATAATTCAGCCAGCATCACAGAAAACTGATTACAGCCAAAATTTCGAGATGGCATTGTAGCACTATCTGTGCTACAGCGCGATAATCCGACAACGAGCGCGTCTGACTACGACTTGCAAGTTCCACATGTTGCAAGCGACAATGCTTAAGAAACAGAAAAACTTGACCTCTGTCGAAAGCATCCCTTTCCTAGCTGCGCCATCAGAAACATTGATCTACATAAAAGCTTCCAAATTCGAAATAATTCATCCAGAACAGCATCAATCTGTTTGCAACGAGAATTTCGAGATGGCACCGTAGCGCTCTCTGCAGCATCGCGATAATCTGGCAGCGGGCGTTGAAGGTGCAGGTATCTTTACGTCGGGGAAGCGTGTCGCTGTCGTCGCCCGGTAGAATCGCTGCGATTGGCCGACGGCTCGGGCAGAGGGGTGTCTAGGGAAATAAGTGGAAAAGCTCGGTCGCTGCGAGGGAGTAGTGGTAAGGCACGAGAAGCGAGAGGGGTGCAACGAACTCTCTAGGCTCGGTTCGAGTCTACGGAGCGCGGAGTTGTGTTCGAATCATGGCGACACCCGAGCCCGTAGACCCAACCACCCTAGAGATTAAGACCCGTAGCATAGAACAGACACTACTCCCACTAGTAAAGCAGGTAAGACAATTAATCGGAAACCGGACAAAAAGAACGTTCTTGTGCTCTAATCAATCGGTCGGTATTTTTTTTTATTTAAGCCGCTTACAGCCCTCCTAACCTTTAACCGCCGCCGATAGGTTAAGGTTTTCCTACCCCGGCTTTCCTCGATATCGTTACGTTCTGTTGCACGACACTCGGCATCACCTATAGACTCGCCGTGCTTCTCTGTGTTCGCGTTCACGATCCTCGGTGTGCGTGTGGTGTTTGCACATGTGTCTCTATCAGCCTGTACGTACCGTGAACCGGGTGCATGTATATATTCGTCAAAGAGAGAGCGAGAGGGAGGGGCAGAGGGAGCCAGCTAGTGGAGCCGCGTACGCTATAGGGGGGGGGGGGGGNGGGGGGGGGGGGGGGGGGGGGGGGGGGGGGGGGGGGGGGGGGGGGGGAGAACGAGAAAGACAGACGGATGGATAGGGAGAGCGGGAGAGAGAACGACGGCGAAAAGGGAGGGAGAAACGTGTCAGTACGCGAACGAGACAGACTATAGGACCGTTCGCTCTTAAGAGCGGGATAGACACATGCGAAAGGAGCGTGTACGCGAGGGATTAAGGGTTACTTAACAGAGGAGACGCGTGTAGGATCAACTATTACATCGATATCGATTCCATTGTAACGAAAAATGCTTTTATCGGGCCTCCGTGGTTTTCCTTCGTTTAGAGAGGAACCGCCGGGATATTTGACAGTTCTCACGCCGGGCATGTGCTTTGTTTCATCGAGCGGCCGAGCTGCCACGCGCCCAGTCGAACGGATATTTTGGTATTTCTTCCTTCTCTCTCACACACATACTCCTCCTATCTTGCTCTTTCCTCCTCTTTTTCACTCTTTCTCTCTCTCTCTCTCTCTCTCCAACTCTGTCTAGTTCCCTTTGCGACATTTATCTTCTTTTCTCGTGTTTTATCTTTGCTATCGGTGGGAACATACTCTCTCTCTCTCTCTCTCTCTCTCTCGCTCTCTCTCCGTGTGGTGCATATGTATACTTACGTATATACTTTTTCCCCGGATGTCACGTGACCGGTGTATTTCGTGCCGCGACGTCGATTTCGTGCTTCCAGAGAGTTAGCACGAATTTTTCTGTTGTGTAACCGCGGAACACGTGCGCAACGAAATTGTGTGCGCACGAGTGTGTACATAAGCGCACGCGAAAGCACGCGGCGAATGTCAAGGGGCGTTGAACGTACGTTTGAAACGTCAAAAATATTTCAGTGGAACGTGCGCGAATTCGCCGCACCGTTACGACGTCACTGCGCTGGTCAACAAAACGGTCGCGATCTTAATTATTGGTGCCATTCGTTGCACCGTGATTGCCTACGGTTCTTTTGCTTCTCCGAAATCGTTTGTTTGCTAAAAAACGGTGAACCGAATTGCTGTGCTATTTACCTACCATTTGGATCGCATCTGCGGTTGTAAGGAAAAGTGTCGTCTATTAAATACGTTCAATTGTGTATTCTTTACTTGAAAATTCTTTTTGACAGTTCTTCTTAATAATTCTTCGTAACAATTCTTCTTATCAATATTGTTTGCTCGTTTTGTTTCGAGTGGATCCTAATGTATTCGCGTCGGATGACAGTGAACAAAATGGATTTAATTCAGCGGCATTTCAGTGTATGCAGTTGTGCTGTTTTCCAAAACAATTAATTCTTTTTCACGGATTTCGTTCACTTCAGTTTTGTCTTATGAAACGTGAGTCACTTTGACAGATCAAGAAAGGAATCGTTTGATACAAATTTATAAACAATATTCGACCGCGATGTACAT